ACTTACTGTGTTTTTCCTTTTTTTTTCCAGCTTTTTGACAGTTTCAGTGAGGCAATAATTTGGCTGTGACATGTTCTCATTCCTCCTCGTTAGCCCCAAACATCATTAAACAGATAATCGTGGCCACACATTGGTAAAAAATGAGGCGACAAATGAAGAAGTAAAAAGATTGACTGTCTGTTTAAGTGCACAGCTCCTGACTCAGTTTGTTGTCATCTATTTGTCTAATGACTGCCTCACAGTTTGGACAGTGTGTGAGATTCGGCCCACTGCTGGATGCCCAAATAAGCATGGCTGCTGCCACAACCCTAATCACCTAATTGCCCTGCCCTGCCTCATTAGAAAACAAGTCTCCCTGGAAAATGGCCCTAAAGTGGCTTAAATTAATGAGACCCTCATATTGTGTGTGTGTGTGTGTATGTGTTGACTCATCAGAGGCGCTGAGTCAGGACAACGTCACCGCAGAGGAAACGGCTGCTCCATAAACTGTCAATTGAGCAACTGGGCAGTGGCGCAGAGTTTGACGCTGTCCCTCAAACTGTTGTTATGAGAGTCACTGGATTTAATACACGCGGCTGTTGTGGGTCAACAGGTATAGTGCATGTTTTGGCCAAAAATGAGCAGCTAATAGTGGCTTCAGTGGAACAGGTACTTACATCAGGTGTTGATGTTTCTTGCTAATTCTGTCCTAATGTTGGTTGTTTTTGTGCTGGTGGACCGTACGTGAAAAATATAGACCTGCAACAAAAAAACTAATTTGTGATTCATGGGTCTAAACATTTTAACCCCTAAAATGGCATACGTTTAACCAAGAAATTAGCAAAATGTTAGCCAAAATCGGAACCAACATTGGTTTAATATTAGCCGAAAACCTTATTCAGGTTTTTTAAAGCTATGTGTAGAAAATAATATATATTGTATATCTAAAAGTTAGCCAAAAATATGGGTAAAATTTAGGTAAATGTTACATAAATGACGAAAAACAGTGATGTGTATAAAACTGTCCATGTTTGGTTAAAGTGTCAAACCTTTCTAACTCCTTCAACTGGAAACCAGTGGAGCCTGCTGTTAGGCTGTGATCAAACTGAAAACCACATTAGTCCACAGGACGTCAGTGGACCTGACAGTGAAGGTCACTCAGATGAACGGACCAACGGCAGCCGTGACCCAATCATTTGACCCATCAACCTCTCTGAGCCTGCAGCTCACTGGGGTGATGAATTCATTAGGTTTGCTCCTGTGGCGCTGCATTCCTACCTGCTGACCTCTAACCCCTGACACACTGTGTGGGTAATGTCCATGTTTTTCCACAGTGGAGCAGAGTTACATGTTTTACGTTTTTCATCATGTTTGAACTGACGTCTGTAATGGTTTAATGCTCTGGGTCTTGGTTACGACTTTAACGCAGATATTATTTTTGCGGCAATGTTATTTTGTGCCTTTATGGATTCCGTAGCTGGTTCTAGACAACAGGAAGTCGGGGAGAGACGAACAGAAAGAAACTTTTAAAATACTTTTTTAAAATTCTTTAGTATATGAACAGAAAACGTTTGCATGTGAGTATTACTTTTGTCCCAGTGTTGTAATACTGCATTTAGAAAATGTTTTAGCTCACTAACAGAGTTTACAGTCAAAAATAAATTCGTTAGTCCGTACATGCTAGACACTAGCATCGCTATGTAATTTCCCATACATGTTAGCATTAGGCTAGCGGACTCGTTTCTACCGGTTTAAACATGGTACATTTACGTTTGTATGTGAATGTATGATGAAAAACACAAATTCATTTAGGGTTATAGTAATTCCTAACTAAACGTTTTGAAGAAACTTTAATTGAGCTAATTTCTTGGAAAACCTTTTGCTCTTTATGGAGCTGGTATAACGAGCTGGACGCTAGAGCACGGGTCACCAACACTTATTATTACTTATTATTACATTGTTCGCGAAGTCTGTATCAAACAATATCATGTATCATATTACTACTTACCCTTAAAGTAGATCTCAGTTTTTAAGAATGTTGGTGACCCCTGGACTAGAAGATGCCACACACACAAACAGCGTTTTACATATTACATATTTTACATGTTTGAACCAGTTATTCTTATATCTAATGTATGATAACATGTTTTTAATTATTATGGTTTTAGATGAATGAGTTATTATATTATTGTTGTAATTTATTATTAATGTATTTTCTGTGAATATATTCAATGTCTTCCAAATAATTGCATTACTGGCCTACAGTATAAAAGCATTTTCTTGCTGATTATTTGTATGTAATATAGACATTAGAAATACTCAATGAAATACTTAATACTTACTTAAAATTCTACAGGACTATACTAACTTTTAGTCTAAATTCCGTTAATTACTTCCGTTCCGTAATTAAATCTGCTATTGTGTCTGTCTGTAACAATATTATTGATTAAAGTAGCTCTCTCCATAATAACTGTATTCTTTTGCTAAACTCTTGTCAGTGTGAGGTTAATCAGATGAGAATGCTGATGTTATCACCTTTAACCATACCTCTGTCTATGATTGGTCTTCTTCACGTTGTTGTTCTTTCATCTCTGTCACTGCCTACACTGACAGACCAAAGAATTCCTTGGTTTGGTTTGGGTCAGCGCCTCCTAGAGCTTAGATTTGGTTTTGCTGCAGATGAGGGGTCCATGGAGGGGTTAGGTGAAACGGAGGTTATTCAATAAGGGGGGTTGGTTGTTTTTCCAAAAAGCAACCAGGGGAACTTATGGACTGTCTGTGAGCAGGCACTGACAGCCTTGTAGACTGACACTCCGTGTCTCTCCCAGGGGGGAAATGGGTAGACGACATGCGTGTGCGAACATGCATGTGTGTGTTTGCACACAGATATTGAGTGGAGCACATGAAGGTTCCCTCACAGGAGCCTGTCTTGTATCAATTCAGCAGGTACAGAAGTTCTTCTGTGGATGGAGGTATCTTCTGAGGGAGGCTCAGATTCTGTTGGTTCTTATTTGCAAAACATCTACAAATTGGTGCGTTTCCTGCTGGTGATGAAGATGTTTACGACAGCTCAGTGTTTCTGAGTTAGAGAACAAAGAAAAAGCCCATGTCTACAAAACAAATTTAGTTAAAACATTATTTTGTGAATGTTTAGCATATTTTCCATATTAATTTCACCTGGCCACTTTCAACTTTGTCCAACAAAACTCTGAAGCTGAAGCTGAAATACAGAGGTTTCCTCTGGACACCTTGTTGGTCTGAAATACATCTCTGGCCGAAATTAGACCAAACATAATTAGCTTTATTAGAAATGTTTTGCCCACATTAGGAATCTAAAAAAGCACCACTGTTATAGATGGCTGCTGTGGCTAGGGCATGTAGTTCATTGCTGAATGTTGGTGGCGTAAAAAGGGTTTGTGCAATCAATTCCTGGTTCCCCCAACTTTTAAGTGTGATTATGCATTATGAAGTTTAATACCCTTATATGAAGAAATGGGGCAAATCCTTGCTAAATATACACTGAAGTAGGTAGCTGCAGGATCTGTGTTAGGCCATTATGTTTTAACATGAAGCCAGTAGGGCAACAACCAGGAATGTAATTCATTGCTTCGTGTTACTATTTGGGTTGCATAGACAACATTGACCATTTAATTCTAATATTATCTTTTCTGTTATGTAGATACAAACACTCACTGGTGTTAGGTAAATGTACGAGGGAATGTATTAAGTCTTCTACCCACTGTCTTTGCACCATACCTGGTCCTGGTCCAGTGAAGTCCTGTAATGAGCAGCAGAGATGAAAGTGCTCTCCAGGCAGCAGGAGGCTTCAGACTTCCTTACACTGTTGTTGCCCAACACTATATCCAATCTCATCTCTGTGGACCAAAACAGGAGCAGACCTGACAGATGGTTGTGATACCAGGAAAAGCACCTCTACAGGGAGAATATGCAAGAAGGAAAAAAGAGCTGATGGACGTCTGAGTCTGTACCCAGATGTCCATCAGCTCTTTTTATGTAGTCAGCTCTTATATGTAGTTCTTGCACCACAGTTAATTTTATGTGATTCTTCTGGGGCTTATTAGCATCTTGACATGTCCCCGAGTCAGTGATTTGATCAACTTTCATATCAAACATTGTGTTCCACTGATGGCATCATAGCAATTTCCAGTGTGGTGCTAACATCCTAAATGTAGGTAACCTGGAGAAAAACTCATGTTTTACATCAAGTTGATGAAGGTTTACCAATACTGGAAAACTAGAAGTACAGAGACTGGAGCCATATTCCCACTTATATGAGCTTTGGACGGATGTAGGTGGGTGTGGTATAATTAGGACAAATATCCTACAAACTGACCTATTGCAGACTCCAGGCCTAGGAAAATGAAAAAAAATCACCACTAGATTAGATATTAAACTCCAAAATAACTGGATTTGCTCCTGTTTATTATAAAGTATTCATTCATTGGTTATAAAACCACAAAATTTGTTAGGTTTTTCTGTTCATAATAAAACATCTGTTGCTAATTTCCATTAAAGGTTCTACTCTGAAACTACAACTTTTATTTCTTGCGTCCTGTAGCCTTGGAGAGCTGCACTGTTCGTGTCATGTTGCTTAAATAATAACACATCTGAAAGCTGTTTACTCAGGCCTGACACTTATTGTGTGCAACATTTAAGCTAACAGGGAGACCCCCGAATAGAAAACACTGACATATGCTCACGGACTCTGGTTGTGACTGTGGTTGTGTAGATAATTAGTGCCAACGCGACCACACTGTTAATCAACTCTGTCTCAGCCATCGCAGAGTTTGTTAATACTGCGTCTCTAAGATTACTTTGGCCTAAAGGACTCATTAATTACACACACTGTACTGTGTTTTTAATAAGTTCCGGGTTCCTTTGGAGGATTTTTTTTTCCTCCCTCTTTACAGTTAGGAGTCTTATTATAGCGTTACTCATAACAGAGGGCTCCAAAAGGAGGAGAATAAGCGGAGTGTGTGTGAGTCTGTGGTTGTGTGTCTGTGTAAGAGTATGTTTGTGTGTACGTATGTGTCTGCTTTTTTTCCACTGCCTTTGTTTTGGGTTGTTATGTTTAAGGACTAGCAGTGTTCGATCTCTGACTGGAGTGTGTGTTTGTCAGTTGATTGTATGCTTCAACATGAAGGTTCATGAACTTGTGTGGTATCAGTGTGTGTGTGTTTGTATGTGATTATGGGATCTGGATTCACACGACAGGATCAAACAATGATTTTTGAGACTCCATCATTGAACCAGTTGTGTCTCGGCACAAATGGAGCTGTTTTTTTAATTTGTAGATTTTCTGGAGCAAATAAGAACGCATCTGTGGGCATTAATTAGTGGCTGTAAAGTACTTCATGATGTAAAGCGGTTCTGCATTGCTACAGAGCTTTAGGGTTTTGCTACTGCTGTTTCCCACTCAGGTCTTTGCTTATTTCATTTTCTGCTTTGTAATGAGACTCAGATGTCAGGGTGTTTACCACAGGGCCAGAATCACCCACATGTTGTTTAATTAGCAGCAAATGGGCCAATGGCATGGGGACATTTTTCTTCTGAGCCTCTATCAATGGCAGATTCCTTCAAGTTCTGGCATGAAGAAATGGTTGCTCAAAAAAAAAAAGAACAAGAAAGAAAAAAAGTTGAAAAGAACATAGGTAAACACATTCAGCAGCAGGTTATACCCCATGCCTTTATGTAGATTTTCACTCCCTTCCTGAAAAAGACCAAATTTAACACCAACTTTGTTGGCCCTGTGATTCAACATGAAACTACAAGAGGTTAGGGGTCAGACGTGTAGGATGGGACAGGGAAGAATTGGTAGAGGAACAGGAAGTGTAAGGGTCAGGGCAAGTAGAGCAGCAGGGGTGAAGGGACGGATAGATCTGTGGATGAAAGGAAGACATTCCAGCTCCACAGGTTTGAACTTGACCTAAAGACAAAGGTGAGAAAAAAAGCTAGCTACAAAAACCTGCAGCTTGTCCGCAAAGACAACAGATGTATGATTATCTTTTAGATTTCCTGAACAGTAGTACTTAAAAAAACGTCATTCTATATCTTCATCATTTTGCCTTCATTTATGTTTCCTTTAATTTGGTTTAGTTTATTTTACATGAACCATGAAGTTCAACATGATGTTAATGAAGTCAAACAGAACCAACAACAAAGCTCTTCACTCAGTGGAATAGAACAGTTCATGTGAATATGAATAATAATTTAGATGATCTGGATTCCATTTGTGAAACATCTGCAGCTTTCCATTTCCATGGATTAGAAAATCACAGAGTATTCCATCGGAGCGCCGCCTCACCACACACACAATCCCATTTTCTTCCAAATTTCCACTCTAAGACACCACAGTGATTTCCACAGTGCTGGAAAAGCCATGATTTCCCATCACAGCTCGATGTATGTGCTGCTAATTCTATAGTCCACAGCCACATGTCACCCAGTGATTACAGTTCTGTGTGAAGATTCTGCAGCACTCTTCTGCCATGATTACAAATTTTGTGTTTGTGTTACGCCTTTTCCCAGTGGTCAGCCGTGGCGGCGGCAGGACAGTCGGCAGTCGGGCGGTGGCTGAGCGGTGACAGCATCACCCACTCACATGCATCCACACTGGCATCCAGCCCTGACCAGTTGGTTGGAGGGTGATGTCGATGAGACGTGACGGGTAAGAAGAATGCACCGATCCAGACACATGTAGAAACATGGACGATTAATTCTTTATTCTTTATTATCATTCCTGTGGATGGACCTGCATTTGCAGGTCAGACTGGTGGCCAACATGTGTATGGCATGTCATTAAATCCAACTTGGAACCTGTATGGGTTGAAAGAAAGAAAAAACAATAGCTGTAACAGGACTCTCTTCCTTACACACACACACCTGCTGGCTGTTCTGACTTAGTGCTTCAGCTTTCTGTGGCTTGTCGTGGTTGGTCAAAGATTGCAGAGAACAACCACAAATGGGTCAGACGCACACAGTTGACATTAAACTCACTTTTTTTATTCCTGGCTGCAAAAGCAGGTCAACTAGAAATGGGAAAAAAATGATTAAAAAAAGGATTCAAACATCTTACCTCTGAAAAACTAGACAGAATCCAAAATAAGAATAACTTAGCTTAACTTAACTAGAAATAGTTAAATTAATAAGTAGTATTTAGTAACTAGATACTAGATACATGTATCTACTGTACTCTATCGATGAAAAAGCTGTAAAAAAAGTGTATGTTTTGCACAAAACATCAAATTAAAATTAAATTTCAAGATTTTCCAGGCCCAAGATCTAAAAGTATTACGTTTGAACTTTTTTTTTTACCTCAGTTGTATTTTAAGGCATTTATTTTATTATTTGTCAATAAATAGAATAAAGTACTTGTAAAATGTGTAAAACAAAATCCTTAATAAATATGCTTCATTATTTTGGGCCGTTCTATTCTATTCTCTTTTCTTTTATTCTATTCTGACAGACAGAAGGTTATTTTTTAGTTCCTGCTAAAATACATCTGTAGCAACATGCAGCCACAGGCAGGAGAACAGGTCTGATAAAGGTTTCTGAGACTGCAGACCAGGAATGATCAAAGTCTCATCTCCATCCATTGCCAAATGCTGGACTCCAAATTGAATGAAAATACCCTTCTTTACTCTCACTACCATGTCTTCCACCCGTCCTCCTCCAGACCTCCTCATCTTCACCTCAGGTGGCTGAAATTCTGCAAATACTCATTAAGATTTTTTTTTCCAGTGCCAGTCAGTTTCCCCAGCTCCACCACTCCACCCCCGACCCAGCAGCCAGTACAAACGTTGAGTGTGAAAGCTCTCATTTATCACCGTGCACCACAGGACGACTGGCCCATCTGAGCTACTGCCACGGGTGGGGTAATGTAACGATGGAGGAAAGAGGGGAGGGAAAAAGTTGGAAGAGAGAGTGAGGTGGCAAAGCAGAGGAGCAAAATGAGGTGGGGAGGATGAAGATAGGTGGGGCAGATGGTGTGAGCTGGTGTGAGCATGGAGCAACTACAGCAGCGGTGGGTTACCTTGGTGCAGGGAGGAGACGGAGGAGGAGTAAGTGGGCAGAGGAGGAGGAGGAAAGATGGATGAGGTGTAGCTGTGTGTGGTTTGAGGAGGAAAATGATGATGGGCCGGGGAACAGGCAGCTTTGTCCAAATAGAAGTAAAACACAGGCAACAGAATTAAGGTTTGACATTTTTAATGAAAATAATAAATTAGGAGCAATTAGAGCAGGAGAGTCGTTTGAAGCTTCACTTCAAATTAACACTGAGGAGACAACAATGGCAGATACCGTTAAAACAAAGAGAAAACATAAATAACAAGAAATGAAAATGAAACTTACACATTACACAAATTTAAAGTTGTTTTAAACCTCAGAGTGTCGGAAACTGACCGTAAATAAGAACAAATATTTTATTAAAAATAATAAAACTATTTTTAAGAAGGGGCAGTGGTGGCTTGGTGGTTGAAGAAGTGGACTTGGGTCTGGAAGGTTTCAGGTTCCAGTCCACCAGCTGCCCACTGAGCATGGCACCATCCTGACACACTGCTCTCGAGGTGCTTAAGCTGACCCATGTTCACTTTAGTGATGGATAAAATGCAGAGGTCACATTTTGTCAGTGGTAATTGACTTTCCTTCCCCTTTTACCTTTAATACATTTTTGTAACGACAACAATATTGATGAATATATATGAATTCAATAATAATGTAAGCCAAACTGGCAATCTCTCAAGAAAAAGCTCAGATTTAGTCAAGAATTACAAGACCTCTACCAATAGTTGAACTTGAAAAATAGCTAAAGGTTAGACAAGAATAGTTCCAAATTAGCCAAAAGATTGTAGGCAACATAGCAACAAGAAATACCCTAAAAATCTGGGAATTAATTCAATTAAATAAAGTTATGAGTTATTTATGATAAAAAAATAAAGTTTGGAAAGATAATCTTTCTTTTGGTTTTACTTTGATTGTACAAGTTTAAATCTTGGAGATGACGTGTGGCTGACAGTGTAGCATTCACTTCTGTGTCCTGTTTAGTAGATTTATAGGCAGCCCACATAAAACTTGCCCAGATGGACAAACTAGATTTTCCACAGAAATATGCAGTCACATTTTAAATGTTAGACAGAATTCAAAATGAAAAAAAAAATCTGTTTTCTCCACTTTAATAAACCTGATTTAAAGCTAAGTAAGTGGACAATTAGAGTCAAACCATCGCCGTCTGTTAAATAAAAACTGAAGTGGAGCAATTTCCAGAGCAGAAGAAGCCCAGTGATGATTATACAGTGGGCTCTTCAGATAATTCTGATGGATGGATGCTGCCTGACACACAGTTAACACAGATTATAGGACTGTTACTGTTGCTCAGCCCGGCACAGAGCCTCATTAAAGAGTGTCCTGTCATGTGGTCAGGTTTGTTTGCCCTGTAGTTTACACACTAAACACAGTTTCCAGGCGGCCAATGTCTCAAAAGAAAAAAAAAAAAAAAAACAACCCTGCAGATCGATATTTAGATACGGAATAAATGATTTTTCATGGGAATTATGGTCGGGAGCGGTGCCACTGACGTAGAACTAAGTCTGGGACAGATGCAGGACTGGATGTCACTTAAGCTACTGAATCTGATGGCAGAACACAGTTGAATTGAAAATCACATGTTCACGTTCCTATCGAACAGTGCAAATAAAACAGTTTTTTTTTTCCTTTGCCACTTTCTGCCTCTTGTTTGACTCTTGTTTAACATTTCCTGCGGCCGATTCCACACACACTGGGCTCCATCAGCGAAATCACACACCAAACAGGCCTTACAGGCCCACGAATAGTTTGTGGTTTTCTCTGCATTCAGTTATTGCTGGTCACAAACGTCATTTTGTATTTATTTTATTCTGGACGTCTGTGCGTGATTGAGCAGGTTTTTCCAGCTTCTCCACCTCTGCAGAGCAGTGCCATAATGTCTCTAATATACATACTGTAAATCAAAGCACTTTCCCCATCAATCACCTAGAGGCAAACTTCATGAGAGAAAAGCTGTTGATGGTTCTCAAACACTGATCTGTTCCGGAGCTAAAATGTACCGACAAAGTCAAAGTGTTTAGCAATTTGTTTCATAATGAGATGATCAAATTGTGCAAACATTTGACATTGACATTGAATAAAATTGACACGATTGGAAATTGCAAATCATGAAAATCTTCCACCAGGGTCTGGAAGGAAACAAGTTATTTAGTCGTTGTTAGATTAACATTTAAAATGTTGTCCACTATGTGGTGTGTGTGCGGGTGCAGGTTGCACACTGAGAAAGTAGAATGTGGCTAAACTAAAACTAGACAGTCATTATATTTCATATATGTATACTTTTGTGTCATTTTGGTTTTGTGCGGCATCATGGGATCACCGACTTGTTCAGTTGTCCAGAATCATTAAGAACACATGTACTTCTACTTAATCGGTGCACTGTATGTATTTGCTGGAATGGATCATTTGGACCTTCCTACACCCTGCTTTAATTGTCCATGGTTCACTCTCGGCTGCCTGTGGCCAACTTCTTTTGGAAGCCTGGTTTGTTCCTGTCAGAGTGAGAATGTATATGTAAATGTAAAAGGTAGATTTTTGGGGGTAGTATTTTAGCCTGGAACAGTCAGAAATTCACAGACGAATTCAAAACATTTACATTTCCACTCATTAGCAGGCATTCTGGGAAGAGGCTTCCCTTAAATAAACATACAGATACTATATAATCCCACGGGGGAAAATGGTGCTAAGGCTTGACAAAAGCTGCCTGTGTGTGGAGAAGAACCTTTACTGTTGGTACTTTACACATCAGCCCTGGTCCCGTCATGTTTTCAGGACATGAGGACACTGAGGTCTGAATCAATCAGTCAGAGCAACTGTGCAATACTCTACGATTGCTTTCATGGCATGTGCTGGTACCAGGAACTGCAAAACAGTTCCAGGAAATGTACATTTTCAAAAATGGGACCAGACATTAGGTAGAGGTGTCTGAGCGTGCTCCTGCCCAGAGAATGGCACCAGTCTAAAGATGAAGGACTGATCTGATTCTTCAGTCTGTGCATTTCATGACAAATACAGTGATTATTTTGTGTTTGTGATCATTTCCAGTAAGTACTGTGCAGTCTTCTTGTGGCACCAGGATTGTTTCTGCAGGGTGACCTTTACAGATAAATCTAACTGTCAGGGTTCATCTGACTCCTGCAGCTACCAGTCCCTGGCAGAAATGTCCAGTACCTGGCAGAAATGCATCATGAATTAGAACTAATCTGTAACTTCGGCCTGACCAATCGTACCACTCTGTGTTAAAGCTGTGAGTCACTGATATTGCTCCAGTGCTTCAACTCTGGCTGTCTGTGTCCTTTTTTTAATGATCTCTGCAGCGACGCTCTGCCCTTGTTTAGAAAACAGCCGAGATTCCAACCACAGTTCAGTAAACTTTGGGGGAATTGTGGAGAAACGCTCTATTGCTCTTCAATCGGAATGGGAAATGTGAAACACATGAGGAGCTAAACTTTAGTCATCTCTCAATAACCTGCGGCCGGGGCGTCCCTGCATGAGTCCCGCTCACTGGCCTCCCCACTCGCTGCCTCACGCATATAAACTTTTTGGAATCACACGTTTGGTGTTTTCAGAGGGAAAGCCCCGACGGTGGAGCGGAATTTGATGTGATGACTTGTTATTGTTGGTTTTAATTTCATTCCAGGGCCTTATTAATGCTCCGTGCTTGGACAGCTACAGGAGGGCGACTCCTTGGGTAAATGGACCTGATGCAGATGCATACTTTTGAGGCATGTTCTCCTGCACATGTTACAAAGACCTGACTGAATGCTGAGGCTCGGGCCCACACACTTTTTCCAGTGGTTTCTGGCCTTGGCAGACCTTCACCCGCTGCAGCTACAAACCAGTGTCCAGACTCTGTCTCACATGAGAAGGTGATGTGCATAATTTGTTATATATGTATTACTTAGAATCTAAAATATAAACAGCATCAGCGACGAGCCCCGCTGCCCTCGAAACCGCTAAGAATAACAGTTGGGACTAACGGTTCTGGCTGTTCGCATCTGATTAGGACCAAGCCTACATTTTGGATTTCTCTAGGTTTTTTTTTTTCATGTCAAAATGGCCCAGGGCTTTCCATAAACACCTTTGAAAAAAACAAGGGAAATGAGGTTTTGAGTACAGCGGCTGAAGTTAGTGTAATGAAAGTGTGTTGTGGGAAATCAGAGCTTTGCTTCTAGGTGAAAATAATCCAACTCCTGCTCCATTTAAGTCTTTTAAAACATAATTTCTGCACTTATTTTATTATTATTATTCTCATTTGGAGCTAAAGATGGTAAGAATGTCTCACGTTTCCCCTCTGCCTCTTCTGTTGACTATGTCCAGTATGACTTCATGTATGCTGAGGAAAAGGTTCATGTGCTTCAGTCTACATCCCCTCCACGCTTCTCTCATCTTTCAGTCAGATTTGACTGTAAAGAATCATCCAGATACCTCAGCGTGTGCTCCTGAGTGAGGAGATGTACAGCTCTGTGGCTTCTGCCGGTGTGATTGGAAGGATCAGTGAAAATCGTACTCTGAGCCTCTAGATGATTCCGTCAGGACAAGGTGCGACGAGGAGCTGCAGAGGGCATTGGACGCCAGCAGCAGGTGAGACAGATTTGTCCGAGTGCCGCGTGTTCTGCCTCAGCTCTGTCGTGTGCACGTGTGGTTGTGCACGCTTGTGCAAAGTTAGGAATGGTTTTCCTAAATATACATGCAAACTAAGTGCTATATTTGTTGAGTGTAGTTTTAATTTTGTCCTCATGTTGATTTAAACTCAGCCTCAGCTGCAGGTCCTACATTAACTTGTCAAAAACACACAGCAGTGGTGGATCATAATGTTATGTTGCATCACATTTGGCCTTGTGCAGTGTAAGGCAGGCGCTGTCCCTGATTACAGTGGTGCTGAAGTGACAGCGGTGGCTAGATTGGGCTGAGAGGATTTCAAAATACAAGTGTACAAAATAATAGTATTGCAGAAATGGTGTTTTATTTTAAGGAATGGAGGTGAACACAACTAATGAAACAGGTTTATTTATCATTGTACACAGAGTCTGTACATGTGCAACAAATGTAACCCTTTTTTTCTAACTCAGCTTTTGGTGATAAGATTAGAATGAACTTTATTGCTGTGTCAGCTGTGTCTGGATGAGGATTTGGACCGGCGATCCTCCCCTTACCCTTGGCCACAGGCTGTTCAGGGAAATTTGACATTTTAACACTATAACACTTTATTTGTTGTTCTTATGGACTCAATCGATTTCAGGGTCAGAGGTCAGACCCTGGACCCTTTTTTTCAAGCTCCATTAATTATTTAATCTAATTGGGTAAAGTTTGTGCTCTAACATTTAATAAAGTGACCATATAAATAGAAATCAGTAGCATTTTTTCTTACCTTGATTTATTGTCCGACTGGACATAGGTACTAATGCAATAAATATAAAGGCAAAGAGTAATCAGCTGGAAACACACGGGTCTCTCTGTCCGTGTTGTAAACATCTGAATCCATTCACAGAAGCCTTTTCATCCACTACAGACCCTGGGAGCAGGTTTCAGCTGGGTCCACTCTGAGTCCAGCAGGATTAGCCGTTATAGCTCACCTCACCCTGGCTTCAGCGTCCCTTCTTCCTGTCTCCACATCACCATGACAACAGACCAAACAGGGCTTTGGGCACATGGCGGCCAAACAGGCTGTATGATATCATACAGGGCTTCCTCACCGTGACAGAGCCTGTTTCCTATAGAAGCCAGCGGGGATCGAGTATCAGCTCCGTCTCACGATGAGACACGGGAACAGTGAGGGCTGGGTCGGACCTCCACGACCCTTGGAGGAACATAAAATGAGACGACATAAAAAGTGACATTTTTGCAGGCAGAGTTTGAAATATCTGTTAATTTTGCATCAGGGAGCTTCTCATTAGTTCTTCATTACGGCCATTTTGTCGCTGGGCCAACATAAACATGGAGCCCTCTGCAGAGCACAGTTACTGTAGGAGAGGATGGCCTGTACCTTCACCTTGGCTGAGCTGCAGTCAAATAAACTGGAACAGAGTGGACGTGAAGCTGCAAAAGATTTATACTATCTGCAGTCACGTTGTTCATGTTCGTGTAATTGTCACTCATTCCCACCGTCAGGTACATCACTGAGGAGAAACAAAAGCTCTTTTCTCCTGAAAATAAACAAAAACACACACACACACACATACGGTAGTGTTTCCTGCCCGCTGCAGTCCTCTTTGTGAACTCTGAGCTAGTGTTTTTGTAGATGTAATGAAGTTGATTTTGGCAGCTCATGACACAGTAACTCTGAAACAGAGGGAGAACATTCTCTTTGGACAACTGTGGATCTTCCGCAGCTGCAGACTGATGTCCTGGACCAAGACATCGTTCTGCACAGAACAGTGGGGGCAGTCAGAGAATTCATTTGAGTTTGTCACATGATCAGTTCTGCACATACTGTAAAATGTTAACCCGGATCACTTCATCAGAATCCGAATCTCCTCAGCCCCCTCCACTGCAGCCACATGATTAATGATCAGCCTGCACTTATTCATAATCCTCAGACCACTGCATGCATGCGATGTACTGGAGACTGGAGATTTCAAAGTGAAACCACTTAGACTGATTCCCAAAATTTGCTGATGCACTTTTAGCGGCAAACATTTTTTCCTAAATGGATGTAGAGTGTTTAGAAACGAAACACTTAAAAAGCTCAGTCAGAGTCGGTGCCAACAGGCTGCACAGCTACAGCTATTCATGAGCCCAGCCCATTGATAAAAAACAGGCTGCAGACGAGCAGGAGTGAGTGAGGCTGGATGAAAGGGAGGTGGTCAGGGGGTGAGGTCACGGAAAATGATTAAAGGGTATTTCAAGGTAGTTTTTCAGCCTCTACAAAATCATTTATATCTTTTTTTTAAAGGATCACTGCCTGTATATTATGACATCAGATCATGTTACATATTAAATGTACTGTGATCAACGTACAGTACAGCTCCTTGTTTAGTGTCAACAATGGCAGTTTTTTTAGGGTTTAACGTTAGTGTGTTGATCTTTTCCTCCAGTGTCCACTTAAATACAGAAAAAAAATGCTTTTTAGCAAAGCAAAACTCAGTGCCATTAGCTGAATATTAGCTAATAGTAAAAGTGCTAATGGAAAGAAAGCCTTCATAGACTGTAGCTAAGTCATCTAAATGCTAGTAAAGATTGAATCTAAATTAGCCATGTCAAAAGAATAGCTCTGAAAATGACTGCTCCATAAACATTTTAAAAACAACACTTATAAACAATAATAAACAACACAGATAATGAAGATAATTCAAGGAAACACATTGAATTTTCATATTTGTCTCTGGGGCAGAATGTTACACAGAAAAATCTTACTTAAAAACTTCTAACTTCTAATCCCTCACTGCCTGCATTTGAATATCAACAACATCCTGAGAAAAACAATAACAAACCTGAAAACTCAACAAACTGGAAAAACTTCACTGTACGAAAACATTTTTATTTTACCTTTTCCTGGCTGGAGAATGGAGGCCTGTTCCATTGCGGCTCCCAGCTGACTCCTGAACTCTCTCTGTGTGTGTGTGCATGTGTCCGTGTGTGTTTATGTGTGTGTACGTGCAGAGTAAAAAAATCAGGGCTGTTGGTGCCAAACAGTTCCATGAACAGACTTTTGAGGCTCTCACTGGGCTCAGTGCCATTCTGTCAGTGCCCTTGGGATGCCACTGCCTGTGTGCGCGCGTGTGTGTGTGTGTGTGTGTGTGCAGAACTCACTCTTGATTAATGATATGGCGACGCAGTGTTTTTATTTTGTCTTATATAATTTTACCCCTGATTTTTTTTCTTCAGATGTTTATTTGCTCAGTTTTGCACTAATTTGATAGGACAGATGACGCGAGAATTTGAAGGTTAGCACGTGGTCAAGGACCCCCACACTTGAATCAAAACTTTTCCTGCTGCAGAAAAGTCCAACAAACATTACATTAACAACAACAAACATTAATGGTTTAGTTGGTGATATACAAAATTATCCGATTTCATTTTACTGGTCTAAAAAATATTATTTATTTACAAATAATTTGTCTTTGTCTGTTTATGTGACAGTGACATACAGAACAAGAGCAGACGATGATGAAGAGAAAAGACAGCGCCTCAGATCTTCATGTATGTCTTTCATCAATTCCTTTAACACTACGTGAGTAAATTCTGAGCAAATTTAAAGAATAGAATTATTGCATTACATTTCATATGCTTTTTGCACCTGAACACTGATGTGGACCTTGAGACCCTTAGATCAAAAGAAATAATGTAACGGTGTTTGTTTAAAGCAGTTTTAGTGTCAAAGTCTGAACTCCCCTTCATTAGACGAATAAACCTCGGTGGTTGTGGGCTTTTTATTATTATTACATTTATAGTCGTTTTAGTTATATATGTGTAAATGTGTCCTTCCTTTTTAGCCCAGAAAAATATTTTTTTTGTCTGTGGAGCTGAGGTGGGTTTCTGGATGGCGTGTGTACCCCTAAACCAGGCTGTTTACTTTGCCTCAACTCGGCCCACTTGGGAAAATATTTTCCCCCAATCTCCAAAATGTTAATCTAACTTACACAGTGCTGGAGGCGGGGCCCAGCCTAAAGAGTAAACATCAACACCCCAGCCCCTGTGGAGGCCCCGGCTGTTTGGCTTCAGGAGCCAGTTGTGGCAGTAGAATGTGTGAGGAGGAACCTGCAGGAGTAAACAGTCACCTCCTTCCTTTGGAGCTGACCCTTGGGACTCAGTCAAGTATCTGTTGGTCTGAGTGCAGGTGAAGTTGATCAGTGAGTCTCAAACACTGACTTGTTCTGTAGAGGAACATGCTCATAAAGCAGAGTTCACCAGTTTGTCAACCCATTAGTTCCTAATGTTCTAAAGTCGTGGGTCTGATCTCAGATGCTGAGGTCGCAGGATAAACAAAACCAGTGTAGAATCAGCAGAGTGGAGCGTGAGCTTGTCAACTTTGACAAGGTTTTCCACTGTTCAACGTTTAGTTTAGTTTAGTTTTGACTAAATTTTAACATAATCAATAGTTCCAAGAACTATTTTTAAAGTTCTTTTTAAGACAAGTGATTCATTCAATTTAGAACGTCCACCTTCGTCAGACCAGATGTTGGTGGTGACGTGCCTTACCAGATTATGGAGTAATCCAATGCACGTAGAGTCATGTGACTCTCAACAGTGAGTTAATTACCAAAAAAAGCCTTTTCCTGGTCCAGTCCACACTGGAAGCTTTGTTTGTTTTCCTGTTCTTATTTGTTTGAAGCTTATTTACAGTCGAGGTGTATCAGGGATTTAAACCCAAAGGCTGGGAACAGGTCACAAAGCAAACAGCTGAGGGGCTGAAGGTCGTAGGGTCACTGGTCCATTAATCACAGCTGTCCACTTAATGGTGACAGCAGCCCTGAAGGCCGGGTTTGATCAGGACTATGACTTCTGACTGTTGTCCCGGGGAAGGTGTCTCCCTCAATAACGGCTGCTACATGGAGTCTGTCAGACGAGGTGCCCCCCACCTGTCACCCCCTCACCCCCTCACCCTGAAAACACACACACAAGCACAACCATACACAGAGACGCTTTGACTGGTGGAAGAAGTTTAGTCTGTGTTCAAGCCACTGTGATCCTGATAGTTATAGAGACTCTGTGTAAAATGACATGATATTAAAGATTTGGACCCAAAAAAGCTGTTGTTTTAAAAAATCTTAATGGTCCGTTTATGTTTTTGCAACTTGTTGAAGTTATTTAAGAATTTTCAGAGATTATCGTATTCTTTTATCAATATTAAAGAATTTCTATTAAATAAAATCCAGGAAGCTGAAAAATATCCCTAAACAAATGAAAGGGTCACTAAGCTCACAATACTTAAATATAAAATTTTTCAATCTAGATCAGTACATTTTATAAAAGTACATTAAAGTATAAAAGTATACGTTTTTACCTTTTGATACTTTATTATTCGATATTCCACAGGAGAAAAATATTTTTATGCTGTTTTTATCGATACTTCTTACAGTAAGTTATCACATGCAATAAGAAAAATGTAAAAACATTTTCAATCCAATCACCTGTTATTGCTTTTTCAGACAAATGCAGCTTAGACTAAAATTATTTTCACCTTTTTAGGATTCCGATAAAACCTGTCGGGTATGTCCATTAAATCAGCACTAATCGGTTTTTGGCGTTTACATCTGACTTTTACTGAAGTCCTTTTTTACTGGAACCAGGCCTGTCTAAACTTTATTTTTGCCTTTTTTTCCCTCATTGAATCATAAAGTTTCAAACCTACTACATCTCATTAGTTTGTAGTTTTGGCAGAGTTCTCTCTCCAGCTGTTTCTACCCACGTGGTCACATGAAATCCAGGTTCTGTGAAACAGGTGGAGACGTTGATCTGATCTTCGTCCATCTCCTCCTCCTGTTTCTGTTGGTCATTTTTTGGGTTCCATGAATCTCCTTTTATCTCCTACAGAGTCTCGTCCTCTCCTTGATTCTTCGTCTCCTTCTTTTTCGTCTTTTTAGTGACTTCTGTCGCCTCATCACTCTCCTAATATATAGGTTTTCTCATGATTCTAAAAACCTGCCTGCTTTCCCGCTCCTCTGATCCCAAATTCTCTCTTTAAAAAAAAGAAGGATTAGGTTCAGTTGAACAATATTTTTAGTAGTTTCTTCTGTTCCTCCTCTGTCGCTCCACCTTGAGAGGTTTAAATCCAAGAACAATTGGCATCGACGACAGAAGTAGGAGTGAAAATGAAAGACAATAAACGCTGCTGACAGCCACACTGTTTCATTTCTCGTCTTTCTGTATAAAGTCAAGGGGAAGCCTAGGTTTGTCCTGCACTCTAATCATCTGAGGCCTGATTGAGGCTGAAAGCTGTGGTGTCGGGTTGCCGGTGTGACGCTGTGGCACGTTTTTTAATGAAGAAAAATAATGTTATCGTACAAGAAATAAGAAGATCAAACTGTGTGCTGTATGTTCTGATGAATGGCAGAGATAAATGTTGGCAAAACAAAGGCAGCTTGTGATGACAGGTCGACCTGGAACAGAGACAAATGGTTTCAGTCTTTTAGTCGGGCTCTGCTGTCATTTGGAGACATTTAATCTAATTTTTTTTATGTTTCATTTTTTTTTTTCAATCACTGTCACAGCTCCGTAAAGGAACCACAACTTTTTTTATCAAGATTTGAGGCATCTTATTCTTGGGGTTGAAAAAAAGAAATGTTGATTTTAAATGAGTACATCCAACAATAATGTTGGTCTGTCACAGGATGAAGAATCACTATTGGCTTATAGTTATATTCACACAGTTTTACTGGCAAATGCCTTTGTGATAAATCCTTCCTCGTTTGTCCAGGTTGGGACTGGAACAGGAGTCTCCACAGAGACTGGGAGCTAGAACTTCTGAGGGAAGGGGTGATGTGACGGTGGCAGCAGTGACCGCGGACCAACAAGTAGGTGGGGTGTTTGTAGCACCATCACATTCATATCTCTCACTCTCTTAATGTCAGCAGCGAACCACTGATTCAGATTGAATCCCAACTCCACGTGCACCGCGTGAGCTCTACAGTCACCGGCGCAGCAGCCATAAATCAGAGCTCAGACCCTCCGTCATCCTCAGTCTCTGTCCCCCTGCTGCTGCCACTAACTTCACACCCGTATACCTTACACTGCTGTTCCTCCTGCCTCCAAATTACCATGAAATGGCAGGTAATTTTTTATTGCCCCTCCGCTAACAAGCCATACTCTTGGCCCCCACATGCTGGACCGCTTGGACGGCTTAAAAAACAACCCATGATTAATGATGGCTGCGACATGTCTGAGTGAACCAAATGGGGTGTGCATGTAAACGCTGGGCTGCCAGAAGCCCTCACCCTCACACTTGTTGTAATCATTTCAGGGAGACAAGAAGAAGGAGAAGAAAAAGAAGGAGGAGGAGGAGAGAAAGGAGTGGTGGTAAGTGTAATGGGTTAATCACAACACAATGTAGGGGGGTGGAGAAATACAGACTTTTTAAATCATCTCCTTCCATCATTCTCCACACATTTCTATTATTTTCTTTCTCT